TCAATAAAATTAGTAGCATGCTCATGCATACATATTACTGCATTTACAGTTTTGTAGGTAAGTCTGTGAGCCTAACTATAATTTCATTTCATGGGAAGTCATTCATATCAGGCAGCTCCAATTTCAAATAATTCAATGGGAAATTGGTACTTAAAATTGGAATCTCTTCTGGCTATAAGCCCTAACAAGGAAACAAGCAGAGGAAACACACATCAGTCATTCTAGACATGGAGCAAGTACTGCTCTAATTTATTTTTACTATTGGCAGCTACATTTCCTTCATTGTGAGTCAAAAAAAGCAGAACACACAAACACTTTTCATGTTATGAAGAGGTTATCACTTTCTGTCTATTCTATTTAGTCTAGTGTTGGCTTAGGCTCACTATGTATTCTATATTTCCTACTGAACTGCTGTCTAGCCACTACATTTCTCAAATTAAATTAATAATTCAAAAACACAATGGTTACTGTAAACAATTTAGTTTCCTTTTCTACATGTGATTTCCTGCTGCGCCCTAAGCAATATAAAAAATTAATTTAAATCTAAGAGTCTTCAGGAACTATTAAATATTGACTCACGAATCCTTGGCCTTAGGATTTTAATTGCTTGAAGAAAACTGATTAACCTGGAGCTTAATTTCAATTTTCAACTGTTTTAGAGAAAAGAACAATAACCAACTTTCTTTTACCAAAATTTTACATCCATGTAATTACAGTTTCTGCTAAAATCTGAAGATATTCAGGATTTTACCCTTCAACATCTTGGGCCCGCTTATGCAAATAATCTCAAACACTTATGTGTAATCTTGACTTTCTGCATCTCTGGGATTTCTAAAGGAGTTCTATCAATGGCAGTTTTAAATGAGACCAATTCAGGGTCCGCCGTTTAATTTTAGACTTACCTTTATAAATGTAGATACTTTTTTTTCCTCATATACCAATCCATAGTGCCACTGAGCCCTTTGAAATGTAACAGGAGCCTTTTTATCCTTACTCCCATAAACACTCACAAACACACACACAGTAAAATCTCACGGACATTCGGTGGGAATTTCTGACCGTTTTATCCTAGCTGGAGTGTTCCCTTATTCCACTGTTAGCAATATACACGTTTAAGTAAATAATTTAAACAAGTTTTTAAAGCATTTTTAAAAATTCATGCAAATAACTGATGTAGTCGTAACCTATGATTCAAAATTACCTTTAAGGATATCTACTAAGTTTACTCATTTCGAGAACATGCCTAAAAGTTCTAAAATTGTACTATTTTAAAATATTTTGTAATTTAAGCTATTCTATAAGAAGGTCCTATTATACATTAGTTTATACATGGCATACTTGTTCTATACTGCCTATAACCACCGAAACTCTGAATGCTTTTCCTTTTCCCTCCATAAAGTTTATAAATTGGTTACGGATTGCCTGTATACACACACACACACACACACACACACACACGACATATTGATGAACACAGTCCTTTCAACTAGGAATTCTTTGTCAAGATACGTCAAATTTGAAGTGGACTAACCTTGACAATATTTTCCTAGAAAGTATTATAAAAATAAGGTTTTATTTCAAGGCAAATGTCTGCCTTACAAAATATACATTTGTTCCTTTCTTTCATATTTTAAATAAGTTTTTCAAATCAATCAATGCCCCACAGGACATTCTGACCAGAATCACTGTATCAAAGCCTAATAATGTAAGTTATTTGCTACTAAACATTTAAGAAAACTGTACATTCTTTTAGAATGCTATTCTTCAACTGAAAATGTGGCTTGGTAAGTTTTAAATGTTTCTCTTTGAAGCTGAGGACTATCTTTTCCTTTAAAATTTATGACTACAAACAACAATTAAAATTTAAAATGACCACCATGGCAATATTTTCTATCATTTTTTTCAGCCTTCATTGGTACTTGAATATAAAGTTCTTAGAACAGCAAACATTTATTTTACTGTCTTCTATGGAGGAGTTTGCAGAGATAAAAATGTAGAATTTAAGACACAGAGGTTAGAAAATTAATTCTGGGTAAGACAACTCTGGAAAGCAATTTCTGGTTGGAAGCTCCTGCTTTTCCAGACGTGAGGCATCACTGAGGCCCCGTCATTCCTTATTCTGTTCATAAATGTGCTTCAAATCAATCTTTCTTAAATCTGGTTAGACATGAATGCTGTTTTCCTGGATGTCTTCCAAAAGTATCACTGAAAGCTAGTTACAAATGAAATTATTTAAGGAATCCCACTCTGAACTTCACAAATACATAAGGGCTATTTCTAAATGATATCTCATGAAAGAGAAAATGGTCTAAAAGAGAAGTTGAAAACATTTTCTCTGGTTACTACTGTCAGATACAACTGCATTATTATTCTGGGAAATATCTTCATTTTTAACACTTTTCTTTATATAGTGGCCCAACGTTGCCTTTAATGCACAACGAAACTCTATGTAACACCAATCATTTAAGTATAACTTAAGTGTTCAGAATTTTCATTAAATTCTAAAATATAATTTTACTGTATTTATAGAGTCACATCTTAAATCTGTTATTTGAATACAAACATACATTTCTTAAAAAATGACTTTAATGTATTAATTAAAATTCTATTTTCTCCCTTCTATTTTTACTTTCTATCCTATCTACTTTAAAAAAAAAATCTATATAACTATGGAGAGAAAAAATCTACTCACTAAATGCAAATTATTTAAAGATTTGTGAATAAAGTGAAAACTGTGTTTGAAATTTAGCAAAGCCAATTTACCTGTTTTTCACAACAGAACATGGCCTAGGATGTAATCTTTGATATGTAGCCTTCTGTAAATACATAATAAGTACCACCTCACTGAATGAACGATTAAATATTATAGGTCTAATCTCCCCATAATTCATTATGACACTTATTTTGATAACTTCCATGACTGTTACCATGGGGTACAGAACCATATTCTTTGCATACATATGAACAAGCAAAACCGTATTCTTTGCTTGCATAAGAACAAGGGTAAATCTCTGATTCTTTTAGGGCTCCTGAATGACCAGCTGGTATCACTGCTTCTTATGTTAGGTGAATCTGAACTGCAATAAGCTATGTGAATATTTTTCAGGGTGAGCAATTGACAATCTAAATCAGGGTTGACAAATCCAGCCCACCGCTTACTTTTGTAAATAAAGATTTAATGGAACACAGCCATGCACAGCAGTTTATGCACTGTCTATGGCTGCTTTCACGCACCAATGGTGGAGCTGAGTAGCTGTGACAGCGCTGGTATCACCATAAACACGAAATTATTTGCTATTTTAACCTTTAAGAAAAAAAATTGCCAAGCTTTGATCTAAATGGATAACTACATAGAACTCATTTTAAACACAACGTTTTGAAAGCTGCAGAATCAAAAACCATCATCCCAGTTCACAATAGAAGGACAAATACATAGTTTAGTTATCCATGCAATTAGATACAACGTGAACTGGGTCTTTTAGAAATGATGTTCAAAACTTCATGAAGTCACAGAAATCCATAAGAATTTCCCAGCTTTCCATTAAAAAAAAAAAATATATATATATATATATATCCTAGAGTTGAACTGTTACGTTTCAAAGTAAGTAATAAATACTTTTGAAAATAACAGTAACTATTTTCTCCTAAAATTACCTTTGAAACTGACATAAAGAAATGCTAAGATAATTAAACGATTGTTTAAACAAGTCCTAAATTACTTGTTGCCTAAGTAACATAAATAGAAGCCAGGATATCTCATTTGCTGTGAAATGTTTGTTTTTAATTTTCCTACTCAGTTCTTTTTTTAAATACCTAAATGCAACTGTTTAGTTAATGAAGAGAAACACCTGAACTCTTTTTATTATGTTTATTTGTTATAAATAACACATTCTGAATCCAAATTAACTTACCATCATTTCAAGTGCATACTGGTTACAACTTAGTTAACACCCTTTCAGAGTGTTGTCATTGTATAAAGAAGTGGGACTGTTAAGTGAAGTGATTTTATTTTATCAATAAAAGTGAGACTTTTAAATACCTTTATTATGATTTCACTGCTTGATATTGACTATCGATTTGCATCACATTATTTGATATCCATTTCAGAAACATCTCGAGCCTCACACACCTATTGGTATCTCAGAGCCAACTAGTCACGAACAGAAGAAGTAATACAATGGCTTTTGTTAATGTTCTCATGCGACAGGCAGAGGCAGTCAATATTAGACCTGGTGAAACACATCTAGCTCTAGGTGGAGTCTGAGGGGAGATGCAGCCACAAGAAAGCAGCACCGACTGAGCATGCTCCTATTCAGGCAGAGACAGAAAGGGAGTGGACGTACTGTAGAAGCTGGCCATTATGTAGTTTTGGCAGCGATCACCAGTAAACTCATTTGGGCACCTGAGAGAAGAAACAAAAAACAATGGTAGAAAAAAACAGAGAAAAAGAGGAGAGGTGAATATATGCTAGAAAGAAGCTCCTCAGTGTCATTTGACTGCACTTGGTGGGTTCACCCTCAGGAACTGATTCTTTGTCCCAATCATGGCTTTCAGACTCTGGCATTTCCCCCAAATGGTTAAAAATTTGGACAAAATGCAGTTCTCGAGTTTCATAACAAAAAAGATCCCAGCATTTTAAGTGACTGCTTTCTTTCAAAGGGAGCCACTTAAAGCGAAGTCTGGCATTTTCTTCGTCTCAGTTTTACCTTTGACAGGTTTGGTCAAATGTGCTGGGAGGAGATGTTTTTGGTTGGTGTGCCTGCCATGGTTGCCAGCATCATGGGCCATCCTGACGGGCCATTCTTTTAAATCCAGGACTTTGGGACCCACATTGAGAGACAGTTAGACCAGGCCACATTGAGTGGGTTTATGCCCTGAGTGGTTAAAACCATAATTACAACAAAAAGAATCAGTTACAACTGAGCTGTCAAAGCACCAAGTGGTAGTGATTGTTGCTGTAGTTTGGGGGAGAAAACAAATTTCAGATTATTTTAACATACTTTCTTGGTTTTGGACTTTCATGGGCACATTCTCAGTACATCTTGCTCCAGTGAATCCAGGTTGGCACCTAGAGGGCAAAAATGTGGTAAGCCATAGAATGCTACAGACACTGAACTTTCAGACTGGCAATTTCCTCCTATGGAATATGGAGATTCCTAAAAACGAGCTGGTACTGGATAACATAAAAAAAGACAAAGACAAAACATTTAGAAAACCATGTCCCATTACAACTGTTGGTTATAGATTTTTTTTGTTGTTGTTTGCTTCAGTCTTTAAAGGACTGGTTAATTGAAATTTAACTAGAGTGAAGTTGAAAAGTTGAATAGGAGTGGCAAGGTGTGGGCAGCTGTCATTTTCCCTCTGGCATTAGTTTATATGCCACTAATCATTGATTCTTACTATGTTAAAACATGGGTTTTGATAAGGGCTTACGTGGTTCCATCCATATCTTTCATTATTAAATGATCTTGAACATTTTCTTATATATACACCCAATTTAGTACTTGTTTCATAAGTATTTTATAAGTTGAATCACCAACAACAGAAGTCAAGCACTTTCACACTCCAGTGATTACTAACAAGAAAAACTACATTCCCTGTTTTTTAAAAAAATTTTACAAATTAAATCTCATTATTAATGTTGAAAGACAGATAGTAGAAGCAGATTTTTATTAGTACAAATTTCATTTAATCCAATTATCCCAAATCAAAGACAAATACATTTTTAAATTTAGAAAGTTATTCTTCTACAGATATACTTAATAGACGTAATCTTGCATTCAAGATAAAACTCTTTTGAAATTGTGTAAAATTTACATTTTATTCACTCACACATATTAAAATTCTAGAATCTCAATGCAATATCAAAATATAACATTATTGAAATGCAATGGAGCTGCGCTTTATAATTGCTGTTTTTGTTGTTGTTACTCTAGTAACTAAAACATTTTAGACTGAATTCATTTTAGCCAATATCATGCTCTAATAAATAGGGCCATTGAAAGGTTGCAGAACACAGATATACTTCCAGATGGAAAGACCTTCATCTGAATGCTCAAAACCCATAATTAATAGTTCACCTATACAATAACCATCATGCAAGTCACCTGTCTAACACAATTTAGCTCTGACAGCACATACCTAGTGATTTTCATACAACCCTTTCTTCTCCAGAGTAAATAAGATAAACACTACCTTTTTTGGCATCAAAGAAATATGAATAAAACTATTCCTTTTTACTAATATAGGAGTGATTTCTTGTCATTTCCCTTCAAGCCAAAGTCAATGCCAAAAAATGTTATCAAGTGATTTGGTACATGTAATCCTCCTTCTTATAAAGAATACTAGTGGTTTCAAATTTTTTGCCTCATGAGTACTTGTGTAAACTTACAGTATAATTACAATCATTAACAATAATATCAGTAAGCTTAAACAAACATCTTATATTGATATAGCCCTTTTGAATCTTCAAAGCACCTTTATATAAATGAGTAATTTTTGTTTAGAATATTTTTGCTGCAGGAAATAGAGGAAGATCTACCAAGAGAAATACATGAATCAGAATTATAACCTGTGAGGTTGGGTCATTTCTCATGAAGATGTCATTCACATGCTTTAATAAGAATGCCTTCAAGATATATGAGGAAAACATACAGAAATTTTTTTTCCATATAACTTACTTGGCAAAATAATTTCTGAAGTAAATGGGACTTTTATTTCTGAACCAGGACTATAAATTCATATAGACATACCCTATAATTAGGCAGGTAATTGCAGAATTAAGGATACATTCTATAATGACCACTTCATCTTACCTGTTTGCATTCTTGATAAAAACCGAAATTCTCATATTGAGCACAAAAGAATTCACACAAAGAACAAGGTATAAGATCTGTGAATACTCTTTGTGTGTGTGTGTGTGTGTGTGTGTGTGTGTGAGTGAGAGAGAGAGAGAGAGAGAGAGAGAGAGAGAGAGACAAACCACCTGAGGCAAGAAATGCCCTTATTTAAGGTAACAAGTAGTGGGGAAGTCATGAGTTCCTTAAGAGAAAGAATGCATTTATTAGGAAATTATCATTTAGGCATCTTACAACCAGTTCTGCAATCAGAGGACACAGGACAACTAGGTAATGGAGGTCAAAAACCATATGCAATTTTCTAATTATTATGAACTTCTAACATGATGTTTCCTAGGAAATGAACATTATGAGATAGTGGTTTATAGCTTTCATAAGCTCACACAGGATACTTGGTGCAGTAATACTAGAACTACTCGAGGCATGCAAATTGGGCTTTTTTGAAATATCAGCTATATCTCTACACAACTATCCCTTTGCTAATGTTCACTTTCACTTGGGAGACAGATTTTCTTAGTGTTACTTCTTAGTGTTATAAGGCCCTATTATTACTCAAAGTGTGGTCGGTGGACCAACAGCAAAAGCATCTCCTAGGAGCTTGCTTGTTAAAGAAATGCAGAATCTCAGGCCCCAGTCCAGAACTCCTGAATACAGACCTTCATTTTAACAAGATCCCCAAGAGACTTATATGTATATCAATGTTTAAGATGTAAGGGACCCTGAACTGGGAAGATGAAGACTAAGGCCCTCTATCCTGGCACCACAGTATCTTGCTGCCCAGACATGGACAGGCCATTTGGCCTAGTTTTCCTCAGTGATAAAATGAAGGGATTTAAATAAGTGATTATCAAAGATCTCTTTTATCACTAAGGTTCTGGGAATTGGTGCTCATCCTAATACATGGAATCACTGCTGGGAAATCTATACGCCATTTCTTCTGATGCATTAGGGACAACAATCAGGGACAACAGAACTCAAGGACTTCTAAAAATTGTTTGTGATAAAAATGAATTTTTAAGACAATCATAGAGGTAAAATGAACTGCAAATACCCAAGCAGTTCAAGTGTTCAGCAACAAAAGGATGGAGCCTTCACAGACATCTAGATGTGTTGCCAAATCAGATGGAAGGAAGCGGAAACTGGCTGAGATAGTTTCTGCATAAGCAAACTGCAGACAGCATTGACTGTGTAGAGAAAGCATTTGCAAATGAAAACCCATCTGATCTATATAAGCTTTGATGAAATTCTATGGAATTGCTTCTAAAAAAATAAGGAGACTGTCTGGCTTCTGACATTGCTATTATTAGCACTGTATGTTAAACATCCAATCTCTCTCTTTCCTGGAAGATACGAATATGGTAAATTTAATCTGATTTGAAACAATATGCTTTGGCATGACTCTGAGCAAATCCCAAGAATTTTATTTCTTAGAAGACTCTAAGTATTTGAATAATAATCAAGCACCTGTTGTAGCTTCAAAAATATATATACCCAAGGTCTGAGGGTTGACCCCTGTACCAGCCAGCTGCCAAAAAAACAAACAAACACATGTGTGTGTGTGTGTGTGTGTGTGTGTGTGTGTGTACATCCTCTAATATGGAGATATATACACACATACATATACATCTTCTAATCCGATCAATGAAACAAATTAGATGTATATAATTTGTTTCATTGATCGGATTAGAAGATGGGAATCATTTTCTCTTTTCCATTTTAGTATTTGCTCTTAACATAATAAACAATTTTTTTCTATATTTCTTCTTAATGGGATAAAAATTCACAGTTTTTCTCCTCCTCCAAGGAACCCTTCCCTGACCTCCACCTCCCCTCTCCCCACCGCCATGCTCCGGGTGAGGACCCCCTCTCCAACTCTCACACTGCACCCTGTCCTGATCTCTTTCACTGCACTTCCATGTGTTGCGATTACCTGTTTGTGTGGACAGTGATCCTATTTTGGCCATTTTGTATCGCTACTGCCTAGCACAGTGCCTGGCTCAAAAAGGACTCTCACAAAATGTCTGCTAAACTGAACCTAAGATAAGATCAGACTGCAGAGTCCAATAAAGAATTGTATCAAAAGAGACTTTCGTACAGTCAACTGATTTACTAAGTATAGGTCAATCTAAACATCTGTCTTTTTTATTTTTATAGTTTATGATAGATTCTCCTCTGCGGCCTTCCAAATAATATTTTATAGGAATTCCCAATACTCTCCTCACAGACTCCCTCCTCCAAATAAAAACTGTTAACATTGTGTTTGCAATTTTGAAAAAACTCTATGATTCTTTAACAGTAGGTCTATTATTTCAAATTTAAATCCTCTTACTGAAATACCAGTTTACCTGTGACTCAATAAAGCAGTACAATCTGCCAACCAAGCCTTCTGTCCAGCACCAGTAAAATAAAAACCATTCTTAACAATAACTTAATACACTGTTAATAATCTGATATGCTTACTATGTAATCAATCATAGATGCATGGATTTTGAGAATCAGTTTAGCGCTTGGTGTATTTTTTACATTCAAATTGAGTAAATTATTTCTCATTTTTTAGTGGAGATTCTAGACATATTCAAAGATACAGAATACAAGAAGTTTCTGATGATTTAGGGTTGGCTAATTTTATAAACCATTTATCATTTACAGTCAATTTATAAACCATCCTTAGGCATCCTTTCTCTTCCTTTATTTCTTGGTTTCACTTTCATCAGTCCCTCTCTTTATCAGGAGAAGAAGTCTACAGCTGTTAATCCCTCTCTTGATAGTCTTCGCTCCACAATGAAACAGTTGGACAAATTTAAAAATACTTGGCCTAAAAAAAGAGTCCCAATTGTCTTTTTGTTCCTCCTCAGTACTAATTGTGGTATTTCCTTCCATACTGTACAGCATCTGAAATTGTTTGGTGCCTATGTTATAAATATCAAATGATGAAATGTCAACTAATATCTGTTGAGGGACACTGGTGGCTTTCAGTGTTAGATGCCAAGACCTCTTCCTCTCGCTCTATGTCAACTCGAGCTGGCAATGCACACACCAGCTCAAGCAGTGCTGGTCAGTTTTTCCAGAGCATCGAATTGCAAACTCTGACTTTTCTTCCCTCCTTTGCCTGCTCAGCATTCTGGCCAGAACTCGCCCACTCACTGGCTGAGTATCTGTGTTGTAGATTATTCTATCCCAAATGTACTGTTACTATTAGTCTGCATTTTTC